TTTCTTGAAGTTTATTTGAGATTTCTTGTTGTATTTGTTTTCTGTTTTTCTGATCTATTATTGTTTTTAAATTTTTAGTCTCAATTTTTAGGAGATTATGAAGAGTTGATAGTTATAAATTGGGTAAGATATTAGGTGTTAATAGTGTATTGTTTTGAAATTTTTGGTAGTATTCATGAAGAAAATTAGGAAGTTTAGGTGATTTGAGTAATTTTTTAATTTTAACAAGTGTTTTGTATTGAAAGAAGGTGAGTATATATTTGATTTTTTAAGTAGATTGTTTTTTCTTATTAGGATTTATTTTTTTATATAGAATATATTTGTAGATTGCTTTTATGAAGGATTTGTTAATTAATTTCCAAATTTCATCTAGGTCTTGTTAGTTTTGGATTTGTATAATTTAATTTTTAATCTTTTTTAGGTTTCCATCCAAATGGTTTTGATATTTTTCAATTTGGTCAGCAGTTGCATACTTCCAAAGAGTTATTTTTCATTTAGGTTGTTTGTGGAGTGATATTGGAGTGGCAGATAAAGTGATTTCTAAAAGAGTGATATTGTGATCTGAGTCTGTAGAAGTTGTGTCCAAGATATCTGCATAGTCTAAGGTAGTTATGTGTAAGTTTGTTTAGATTTGGTCAATTCTGCTTTGGTGTTTTTTGTGATAGCAAGTGAATTTTGGAAGATTAGCATAAAAAATCCTGAGGGTGTCATAAAAGTTAGGTTTAAGATATTTAATTAATAGAGATTCTGAAGTTTGAGTCTTTTTGGGTGATAGTCAATCAATTTTAGGATTTGGTATAGCATTAAAGTCTCTTACGATAATAATTTTATAGTTGGTTTTTTGGATAAAAAGGAGTGTTTTTTCATATATTTCTTTTTTCAAAGTATGTTTTCCTTGATAGGGAAGTATATTTGTATGAGTCAGATAGGGTAGTTTGGTAAGGAAAGATCTACAGTGAGAATGTAGCCTTTATATTCTTATATTTTACTAATATATTTAGAGAGATTTTCATGTATTAGAAGTCTAACACCACCTTGTCTGGTATTATTAGTCTTATTCCAGAGATTAGTGTAGTTAGAAAGATTTTGAGTTAGTGAAAGTAGTTTTGCATCTTTGGTACTTAGATGAGTTTCAGAAAGACCAAAAATATTTATTTGGTTTTCAGTAATAAAGTTGTGTAATAAGGTTTGTTTAGAGTAAGATAGTCCATTTGTATTAAGAAAACAGATTTTGATTTGTTCAAGTGTAAAAGTAGATTGGTTAGGAGGGTTTTGAGTTGTGTTGGATATATTTAAAGGTTGACTTGTATAATAGTTTTCAGATGAGATAATTAGTGATATAAAGGAAGAGTCTGTTCCATTATCTAATAAAGGAGCTGTTAGTATTAGATGTGATGATAGTTGTGTTGATTGTAGTATAGCAGTCTGTAGTTCTGTAGTAAAGGATTTAAATATTAATGGTGAAGTATCTAGAAACAGGTCTGTAGGTATATTGGATATAGTGTGGTTATTAGATTTAAGTGTAATATTGCAATAATGCTTTAAAGCTTCTCTGGGTGGGACAAAATGACCTGATAATAGTTTGGATTCAAAGGGTAGGTATATATATGCTTCATAGTAGTCTCTTTTAATAAAAATAGTAAGAGTATATATGTGTGAGTTTTCTAGATTGTAATCAAAAAGGCTAAGGTGATTGGATTAAAACTATAAACCAACTACCTAATCAAAAAACCTCTGGCCCTTCTGAAACCAACTAAGAACATATCAAATTAGCCTTACAACAAAGTTAAAAAATACTCAAATTATTCTTATTTAAATGTCTACAACTACAGCTAATATCTATAGATTGGAAAACATCAAATATATTTCTTATTTCAAAAAAATCAACCTGAGACTATACTTTGGATCAAGTTCATCCAATTTTACTTATAGAGCCCTTAAAAAAAATGTCTAACTAAAATTTTTACACAAAGACTCGATCAAATAATTAACTAAAACAATCTTCTAAGTAACCTCAAACTAAATATAATCTACAATTTTATCCTACCAAATCCTAAACTATTAACTATCCAAAGTCTAAAAAACAATTAAATTCTTTATATAAAACAACTTTTTACATCTGATAATCAATTTCTTCTACCATAGAACAATATTTATCTTCTAACATATAAATTATCCAGATGACCAATTCCCTCTTAGTACAAATACATTAAAAATCTAATAACTAATAACTTATTACACTCAATCTGGCCATCAACCCAATTAGAAAATATTAATCTATTTATTAATACATTTACATTAATTTCAATACCATCTACAATCTCTAAAAAAAATAACTGGACAATCTTCTTCTCTTTAACTAATTTACAAATAAGGAAAATTATTTCTATAATACAAAACAACTTCTTCTTCGAAAACTACCTTATTCTTCAAAAATCTCCTAGTATTATAATTCTTCAACCTTCTTTACAAATATCTACAATCTCCTTTACATCTGCAATCAACTTCCTTTGTAAAAGTCAAAAACAAAAACAAACTTATAAACTCTCAATCGACTATTAAGAAATATTATCACTATCACAAACTTTTTCCTCTTTGCACCAACCCATTACCTCAGAAAATTCATATATCCAAATACAAGATTCCAATATTAAACTTTTAACCAACTCTATTATTACTCCAGCATACCAAACAGAACTTATTAATATCTATCAACAAATACAATTAATATCATCAGAAAATCTTCACTTTTATATAGATGCATCAATTAAAAATACTCAAACACCAAATCTTCAAACTGGAATTGGCTGAATCTTAAAAAATAATATCAAAATCAAATTTTCTGCTAATATTACAAATACTTTTAACACCACAAGAGCTAAACTAGCACCAATCATATTTATACTTCTTTCTTTATCACAAAACTTATATATACATATTTACTGTGACAATTTCTCTACAATTCAAATTTTTAAAAATTTACCTTATTACTACTCTATGCAAATCAAAACTGAAAACTGAGATTATCTACATATTATCAACAATCTTCTTCAAAAGAAAAATATATCCTTCACTATACACAAAGTTAAAACACACTCTAAAAATGCTCTAAATCGAAATGTAGACACTCTCACAAAAAGAGACACAAACAGACAACCATCAAACTTAATTTAGATTACCTTATAATACTCTCCTTTTTTCATAGTACAATACTCACTTACATCAAAAATCTATAAATTTACAAAAAATCTAATTTTTATTGAAACCTTTAACAAATTTCTCCAACTTAAAAACATCTGTAACATTCATCAATTTAATATTAAAACCTTTACATCTATCATTAACTCTTGTAATTACAAATCTAATTTGTTTTCTTTATGAATTAAAATACTATTAAACAATCTACCTACAATGTCCAACTTTTACCTTTACTATCTTTATCTTTACTTAACTTCTAACTGTACTCAATACAACCAACTTGAAGATACCTTACACTTGTTAAACTGTCATCAAGCACTTTTTGATCCATACCAAATATCTAATCAATATATAATTTAAACATTAACTGAACTTAAAATTGAAAATACAAATCCTGTAACAATCACAAATATACTACTCAATCCTAATACTTATAATACTTCTTTTCAAAATTTTTTTTTTCTTATACAAGGAACAATTCCTCTTTGTATTACTGACCAACTACAATCTATCTTCTCTAAAAATACTACCAACTTCTGCTTCTGTTTATCTAATAATCTTCTTTCTTGGTTTAATTTAAATATTTGGCAAACTAGGAACTGATTCCAACATAACTAGGAAACCTCAAGAAATATCACATTTAAGTCCAAACGAATCAAACATTCTTTCCCAAATACCACTACTAGAACTCCTATAACAACAATCTATAATTACAATATTGACTTATTTATTCAAAAATGGCATAATTAAAACTTTTCTATTTTTTCATATTTTTATTAATCTTATATTTTAACTATTGGGCTTCCTCTTTCCACTTCTATAACTAATGGTAGCTAGTCTTAAATTAGTTTACAAATATAAAATTAAGAGGTGATTTGCTACACTTAGGTGGTTATACAGGATATAATAGATAGTTCAAAATTAATATCATCTTGATACAAATTTGTAACTAATCTCATCATGTATACAGCAAATTCAAAATAAAAAAAAAAAAAAATTTTTTTAATACACAGACTATACATTTCAAAATTACATAATATTAAGCTTAAACCACTTCCTTCTTCTTTTCTACTCAGTTTTAAGCACCAAATTACTATTACTTTACTCAAAACTTACCTTTACACTACTTTAAATTCTAAGCAACAAATTATAGCTTCTCTTATTAAACTTAAATTATTATTCTCTAAAGATAAAATCCAAATCTATAAAACTTTTTTTTCTAAAAAAACAACACTTCAACAACACCAACAATATACTTAAGACAAACAGAAACAAACTTAAGATAAACTTCTACAAAAACAGAAAGACACATCTAATAATCTTGACTGGTAATTCTTATTTTGTTTAGTAAATAATTTTTAGAGTTAGCAGATAATTTAATATTAGTCTTTAAAATTGCAGATAAATCTGAATGATTCTGTTTTATTTAGAAAAAATTGTACTGGTATTATTGCTAAGTCAATGCTTAACCTCATCGATATGAATAAGATTGTAGAAATGTGAGGAGTTAACCATGTTTTTTTTTTTGAATCTTAAGTTGAGGCCATGCCTCTAACTTTATTAAGAAGTTCACCATGTTATATCAAGTAAAACACAGTATTTTGTAATACTTTTGAATGATGAAACACATTTATACTCTTGTTTTAATCATTGTAATCATGAAATTATTTGTTGCTATTTTTTCTAGGTAATACTGTGTATACAAAATACAGCATTCCATATTCAGCTTATAAGATCACATTGGTATAATGAAACTAGTAGTAATCTAGCACAAGAATCATTTCTAGTTGCACAAAAATTTGATGAAACAGTCAGTAATAATAGGTTGGAATGGTTTGGTTTTTTACCTTAATGCTTTAAATCAAAGACTATATATAAAATAAAGGATATAAATTGCAAAACAATAGATAAACGTAAGCTATATAGTGAAGCATAGGGCAAAGCTAGATTAGCTTTATTGATAGCTGTTTAAAGATATAATTATAATTTCATTTTTATTTTTAATAAATACGTGAAAGATTGCTGAGAACTACCTTCTAATAGTGATAGTGATATTGATTCAAACAGTACATCAAATAGTGAAAGTAAAGATAGTACCCAAAAAAGAAGGTTGGATCCAAAAGAGCTAATAAATCCTCAAAAGCATAAGGGTAAGAGTTGGCTCAAAGAAACTAATAGAATACTGTATACTAATAAGCCACCAAAAAAAAGCAAACCACAAGCTGCACTATAAGATTTGTGAAGATACCAGTCATAATTAAGTAACTTGTTCTAGAAGACAAGAATAGCAATAGTGGTTTAATTGGCAAGTATTTATTATTAAATAATTGCAGTCAAGCATTGTAAAGAAGAATGATAACATGAAGGCCAATTTTTAATTTATAATAGTTTTTTTAACATCATTTAAATTGCTTATTAAAATTAAAATTTTAAAGTGTCAAAACTAGTTCAATAAAATATTAAATGAGCTGCTAGTTTAAAATTTCACTAATCAAAATATAGTCACAGTCATTTGTTACTCAAAATTTTTACTATTATCATTATAAAAATATTTATTTAATTTGTATAGAAGTAAAATATATTGTAATACTAAACATAAAACAGTTTTGGTATGATCATGAATACATTTTATACTAAAGAAAGATATATTGACACAGCATACACATAACTAATTCCGTATACTTAATGCTAAACCTAACTATAATGCTAGCAATACTATGTTAATTAGTTTAATTTTGGCTATTTTGCTATGTATTAAGTAAATATATGCTGTATAGCATAGCGGGCTTTATTGTGATTGGTTAATTTTAAAGATTATCTTATCATATTAAAGTCTTATTAAAGTAACGATTTGCTGTCACAAGAATGGATTCAGTGCCATGAATATGAATTCAGCAAGTATAAGGTAAAAAATTTCGAAAGCTTAAGTTTCACTTTATGTACTGTCAAAGTAATTCGGTAAACAGTGAGATAATTCAGAAGTTAGATGAAAGGTATGTTTAAGCATTTCAATTTAGCCAATAAGGCACAAATATAACCATTAAGCTTAGTAAATTGCAGTTTTTTCAAAAGGTTTATAGTATTAATTCAACATCACTAACATATTCTATTTATAATTTATTTGTTGTTCTAAAGAAAAGTTCATATTATAAGTATAATAGATTAATAACAAGAATAATAAAACATGAACATGTGGATTTTACAAAGGATTAAATATAGTTTAGCATCTAAGATTATTTAAAGTTAAAATTCATTTGCGTTAATTAGCTGATAATATAATAATATTATATATAATTAAAATTGCTTTATAGATTTAGTTGATTTTCTAAACGTGCTTTTTATTAGGGGTTTTTTTTTTTGGTACTTTTTATTTTTTTTTTATTTTTATATTTCTTTTTGTTTTTGATTTTTTTTTCTTTTTAATTCGTACAATAGTATGTTATTAGATTATAGGATCTTGATTGTATTAGAATAATTAATGATTACTTAGGCATTAAGTTGTTGAGTAGTAATATATTTATTAATATTAATTTATTTTTATATAATTATTTATTAGTTTCATAATAACATATTTTTATCAATTCGATTAACCAATAATATTTATACAATATCACAGGATGATCTACAAAAATCAGCCAATTACTATGAAAGCCCACTATGCTATGCTGTGTCAGTATATTTCCCTTATACTAACTAGAAATATAATCTGAATATATATGAATATATTACATAATGAATTTTATTAACTATCAGTTAGATTTTCCTGATATTTTTTGCACTTATATATATGATTGTATAAATTTTTTTAGTTATAAAATAGTAAACTAGAATTTAGGATTTGAAACTAGTTTTAGCTTTCTTATATTTAAACTAGTTTTAATCAATTTTAATATATAACAAATAAAACCAGTTCTAAACTCTAATTAGATAATTATTATATAAATGTTTAGTATATAATTTACAATATAAAAATATAAATAATTAATTATAAAAATATAAATAAAAAGATAGCATTATAGTGCTATAGCATTGTAATACCATAGCACTATAAAATAAATTCCTTAAACAAAAACTAAAAAAATAAAATTAAATAGGTTTAGGCTGCAGAAAATTTTGTCTAAGTCTCTATTCTTGACATTCTTTAGATATAAAATTTATATATAGTTTTTTTTTTATAAATTTTCTTGTAAAGAGATTCAATTAAGTTTCAATAAAGTTAAAAGCATGGCCTTACCTTAAGATTCAAAAAAAATAAAATTAAATTAAATATCAATTTATATTATTTTTATTGTAAAAATTTTTTAATTTACATGATTAAAATAAGAGAAATTCTATTTTAACTCGGGTCAAAATAACCCTCAGCAAAATTTTAGGGTTAGTGCGGGCCAGAACTATGTTGATGCCGGCCAGGGTTATTTTAATATAAAAACCCGGCCGGCAATAACATGATTCTGGCCCGCACTATCCCTAAATTCTAGGAGGGGGTCATTTTGACCCGGGTCATAATAGAATTTTCCTTAAAATCATGTAAAATTTAAAGAAAACAATTAAAGTTACGATTATTAAAGTTAGGGTTAGGGTTAGAGTATCGTTTATATACGTACGTACTAAAATTTCACGGGGATTTTTTCACGGAGATTTTTTTGTTAGAACCCAAAGAATAGTTTTGTAAGCAAAATTATAAGTTATACATATATGTACGTACGTACGTACGTTTTATGCACTGGTGTACAAATAGAAATCGTCTATTATTATATGCACTAAAATGTATATAGTATTATTAATCAAAATGTTCATCTGTATTACGTACATACAGTATGTACCCCGATTTTGGGTGGCGGTACTCGGTGGGGTCGACCATACACAAAATTAAATTAAGTAAATTTGACATCAATGATAGGATAATTTTGGCCAATGGCCTTTTGCATTTGGATCAGAATATTTTGCACCCGATCCATTTTCACATGGATCCGAATTCTTGAGACCAGGTCCAGCTAGATATTTGAAGGTTTGATTAATATAAATCCCGTGGTACTCACTAGAATATACTACATAATGCTATTGTAAGGATCTTGTATACGGTAATTTACGGTAGTATCCAAGCCCAACCACTCTAAACTCTAAACTTTGCTGTAGCTGAAAAGTATTTACGTACGTACGTACGTCAACAAGAGTGGCTTTTCATTAAACTTTAATTTCCGAATCGTAAACATGCGCCGTTCGTATGTGCGTTCAATACATAAATTAAGTCAAAACAACGATAATTTCAGATACCGCATGTGCCACAAGATCCCAGGAAGGGACCGATTTACTTGACAATGTCATTACAATAAACATATAATGTGGCTATGGCTATGTGTAGTGATTGTCTGGGGCGTGACCCTGTTTGATCACAAAAAAAAATTTAGAATTGTGTACAAAGATGTCACGATCCCCTTATTTAGGAACCATCACCAAATCAGCTGAAGTGACCATATCTGTCAATTATTAAGCAAAAACCCGTTTATGAAAATCTTCAACTGTAACTTTAAAATCGATAAATATATGTCGAGTTCGATTCAGGAGAAACCTTAATTATTAGTCATTTATTTCATTTGCTTGTGGAAAACAAAAAAAACAAAAAAACTAATCAGAGACCATTAATAACGCATAACATGTCAACTGAATCTAATGATGAAGGATCGTTGTATCTTCAAATCCCTGCTTCACCTTCAGATGAAGCCATAAAACTTCCTAGTTACAGAGTTGCAAGGCAATTGGCTTTTGACAGAATCATTAACAAAATAGGAATGGGAAAATTTCAAAAACAATTGTTGGTCCGTTTGTCTCATAAATAGTTAATTTATAAGTATATAGTTTCATAAACGTAACAATAAATATTTCTTATTCTTTTCTAGTTGCTATGTGGGTTTGGATGGCTCGCTGACAATGTGAGTAATAATTTTTTAACTTTCTACAGTTTCAAGGTCCTTGAAGATAATCAATCGAACCTTTATATTTAGATGTGGATTCAAGTATTTCATATTTATTTGTATTTATTTGTGATTTTGAATTATGTTTTCGATAACTTTATTTAAATAAATATTCTTTTTTTTTCATATTAGTGTGTGGTAGTTATTTTGCCAAGAATCAGAGGTATGATTTATCTAAAATCTTATTATAATAAAGTATTATTAAAAGTTTTTATCTTACGACATAATCTCTCATCAACTAACAGTACATTATGATGTGAATGAAAAGTACATTGGCATATTGTCTAGCTCTATGGCCTCAGGCATGATGATAGGAGCTTTGTTTTGGGGTGTCCTTTCTGACTCCTATGGCCGTAAAAGGGCCTTCAATCTTACCTTGTTTTTCACTGCCCTTTTTGGCACTCTTTCAGCCTTTTCTCAGAGTTTCGTCCAGTTATGTTTTTTATTGTTTCTCACGGGCTTTAGCGTTGGTGGAAATATGCCTGTTGATGGTGTGTTTTCTGACTTATCTATCCTATATCATTAACTTACTTAATGATTAACTAGTTCTTTTTTCATTAGGTGCCTTATTCCTGGAATTTATACCAAAGACCCATCAATACCTTCTTACTTCTTTATCGGTCTTCTTTTCATTTGGTGCTGTTCTTACCTCGATTCTTGCTTATTTAATTTTGCCCCAGAATAGTTGTCTAGAAAAAACTTGTGATGTTAATGAACAAAACAATGGTTGGAGGTTTATGTTAATTAGTCTGGGATCACTGGTTAGTTATCATACGTGTTATCATTTACAATGGAATTATCGGTTCTAAATAACATTTAATTTCATTCTTCAGACTTTTCTCATGTTTGTCTGTCGCTTCATCTTTTTCCGTCTTCAAGAATCTCCAAAGTTTCTTAACACACAAGATCGCGTACGCGAAGCTACAGCAGTTTTACGCAAAATTGCTAAAATAAACGGAAATTCTTTTGAAATTAAAGACAATGAGATTCCATCCACAACAGACAATTCGATTAATTCTAATTATGTTGGATCATCTTCAAATGATAACTCCCAATCCGTCGGGTGTTTATCTGACCCTGTTGGGTGGTTATCTTTAAAACTTCTCCCAATTAAACCACTCTTCAGTAGAAGATGGATTAAAACAACCATTCTTGTATGGCTGATTTGGATACTTGTCGCTTTTGCCTATACTATGTTTAATGTTTTTTTGCCTACATATCTAGAATGGTTAGGTTTGAGTGATGATGAAGATACTGACGGCAAAACTTTAATACGAGAGGTATTAAGAGATTATCTGATATACTCTGTTTGTGGGATTCCAGGATCTTTATTTGGATCCTTCCTTATTGAAACAACATTAGGTCGCAAAGGTAGTATGGCTCTAGCGACTTTTGGAACTTCACTGGCAGTATTCTTGTTCTCTACTGTCCGTTCTCGTTCTGGTGAAGTCATTTCTTCAGCTATGGTCAGCTTTTTGGCAACCCTTAATTATGCTGTAATATATGGGTACACTCCTGAAGTATTTGAAGTTAAATTAAGGGGTACTGCAAGTGGAATTAGTTCTGCACTTGGGAGAATGTAAGTTATCGTTTCATACTTATATTGATATTCTATAATGTTTTCTGATTATATTTTTAATATTTCAATAGAGCTGGTATAATTGCTCCGATAATTACAGGAGTGCTTCTCTCTATCAATATTTCTATACCTCTTTATTTATCTGCATCCCTTTTTGCATTGTCTGGCATTTGTATGATATTATTACCAATTGAAACTAGAGGAAGACAAGCTTAAATGCTATTGTATAACTTGTAATGTACGCTTATATATATATATTTATAATCAATTTAATATAAATTTCATTTAATGCTAATTATAACATTTAGGTGCAAAGGTTTACTGAATGATAACGCAAATAGAGTATATATATTGGGCAAAACTAGAAACTAGATATAGATTTAAGATTATCTTGTGAACATAGATTTACAAATTTATATCCAGTTTAATTTTCTAAAGGATTAAACTATATATTATTGTGGTTATGATTTGTAAATAATATAAGCCAACTCACTAGCTTTTTATATGAATAAAAAGGACATAATTAGCAAAGTATACGGTTATGAGACCGTAATTAAAAGACGATTTTAAGTTACAATTAGAGATGTTATCCTGCTTCATGTAACATAAAATAATTTTGTTAAAATAGATTGGATTAATTTTTTCTAATAAGTAACTTCATTCGAAAAGACACTGGTTAGTAGCAAAAATTAAAAAATCATACTCAAAACGAGTAATTACTTCCAAGCAGTTTTAAAGCAAATCGATTTCATAATCGTGTTTCTAAGTATTAAAATAATAAGATCTATATTGAGTTAAATTATTAACTATTAGTATGTTCTTAAAAGCATTATGAATAAGTTTAATTAGTCACATATCAAAAGTAATCATAGTTATAATGAGATCCAACCCTAGGTTTACTTGAATCCAACCTGGAATCACTTGGATCCAACCCGGGATCACTTGGATCCAGCTTTGATCAATTAGATCCAACCCGCAAATCTCATTAAGCAGATTTGAGCATTTTAGGCAGGATAACATTATTAGTTGCAATGGTATAATATTGAATGATTAAATTGTTTAAATTATCACATATAAATTATTGGCGTGTTAATCTCCATTCTAGCTTAGAGATCATATAAATGTTTAGTGGATAATGGGCTATCGTCAAAATATTAAATAAAAATTTTAGAAAACGAGAACATAATTTACGTATTAAAAATTAAATAAAAAATTGTTTTAATAATACAGTCGGACCTCTTTAAATCTCTATAAGTGCACGTCCTCTTTAAATGCACACATATATTCTGGCCCAAATATATAATTGACCTCTGTAAATACACTTTTTCCTACTATTCTCTAAATGCACGTTGTTAAAATGGTCAGGGACTGTGATCTCAGAAAACAGAACCGCAAAAATTAACATAATACATAGCACACCGAAATCAGGTTACACAAATCAATATCACGATATTTGACAATTAACTTTTAAACACAGAATTAACATTAAATACCGTAGAATTATACAAAAACAAACTTTATTATCAAAGAATTTCACAGGATATGTTAAAAAAACAGCACATCACATCAGAATTTTTCTTAACCACACGCAAAATTTAGTCTTAGTCGCTGCAGAAAATCATCGTCCCTGAGTGTGGTCCCAAGGCGTGCACTTAGAGAGGTCTAGCTGTATATTGTTTTGGTAATGAATAGTTTAGATTTATAGAGTTAAAACTAGTTAAATGGAAACCGTTCAAAGTCTGAAGGTTCATATAAAAAATTTATTGGAAGTTAAAAAAATTTGGTTGTTTTTATATTACATTCGATCTATCGAATCAGAATTTAGAATTTGTTAGCACACAGACGTTAGGTGTACTATGGTTCTACCTGTAGTATTCTTCGGACAATAAATAATCGATTGATAATAGTAAACCAGATAATTATTTTGGCTAAAAATTGTATTAATAGATTTGAATATGATCTTTTTTTATATTTAGTTAAAAGTAAGGTAAATAGCTTTATTATTTTTGTAGTAGTTAAAATGTTTATTACTAAAAATAGTAGATGTATTACATTAGTTTTTATATTTTGATTTAAAAGTTTTGTATAAACCAGTGTTGTTATGAAACAGTTGTAAACATGAGTTTGTACACTTTTTAATATTTTGAACAAATAAATAAATTAAAATTACTCAAAATTTTATTAAGCTAAACTATTTTAACTTTTAATAAAAATGTTTAGTATTATCAAAAATATATAATTAGATGGATTTATTTAAAATTTACCAGTAGTGAATTTCACCAGTGATTGTTTATATATAATTAAAATTGAATAATTTTATAAATTAAGAATAAATTTATTTAGTGTTAAAGTTAAATTAAAGACTAAATTAGGATAAGAGTATAGGTTATAGTAAAATTTTATAAGAAATTTTTTTATTAAAGCATTAAAGCTGGTTTCATATATTAAATTTTAAGTTATTAGCTATTTTTAAAAAGTTTTTTATTTTTGTTATACAAAATTAATTTGCATATTATACCTGACCTTCAATTATGATTGGCTGGTAAAATTTACTACTAGTGAGCATTAAACTTCTTCTAATTAGATAGATTTTTAAATCAATATATTAATTTTTAAATCTTAAATATGCTATAAACATTTTTGAATATATAGATATTTGGATATTAAATATAATCAAAAAAAGTTTTAAATATACAACTCTCTCCAACAATCACTTGTATCAAACTTACGGCTAACAAAAAACAGAAACTTGTTAAAAAAAGTAGAAGAGACTACTATACAATAATGGTTTTACAAAGGTCAAGACTTTTGCAATTTATTTTGGACTTTTTTGTATATTTGGCATGCAAGTTAAAAGCGTTTTTGTACAAGATAACTAGCAAAAAGGTGGTGCTCTTGTACAAAAAATTTTAATAGAAGCACTGCTTCTGTTGATGAAGTTAGATAATAGTTGGTCTAAAGGAGAACAACAAGCAAGTTTTTAACATACTCTTTACTGAAATTTAAGGATATCTGCAAACCAAAAACCAAACTCCACTCTTTGCATTTTACAAAATTTTCACCAAAAAGTTAGAAAAACAACATATCCTCAACAAAAGATCAATACAGTAACAGCTGCTAAAAAAGAAAAGATATGTACATGTATTTGTGTCTACTTTGGAATGAATAGTATCAGATAATATAATAACATTTGAAACACTGCAGAAGATCTGCTAATTTAGTTAGAATAGCAACTGAAAGTTTTGACCTTGGAGCTTTACTTTAAGACCAGATAGTTTATAATATTTTTATATCCTGGATATAGACATAAATAACTAGCATAAAGTTTAGTCTAGCTTATTTGTAGTACTATATAATTTTTACAATTTGGCATAGGTTTAATAGTACTATCTTTGTTTTCTTTTCTTTTGTTTTTTTTTCTTTTTATTATTTATTTTGTTTGGTTTTATTTGTTTAGATGGACCAGAATTTTAATATTGAGGTATTTTTCTATTTTTCTTTTGCCTTTTGTATTTGTATCGGTACTTCATTTTATAAAAAGAAAAGTTAATTCTGATATGATATGTGGTACCTGCCTATGATCAAAAATAACCTCTAGTAAGTTAGAGTCTAGAAGGAGGCTTGAAGTTCACTGAGGCTATGCATATCTGGCAAAAGTGTGGGTAAGCTTCTTTGTAAAGAGGTTAGTATAGCTATTATTAGAAAATATAAATTTCTTAGTTTAGTTTAATTGACGATTCTTCAGTCAACTGAAGAATGATCATAGTGAAACATAACGCGGTTCTATATATAAATTACTATAGATGCGAAAGTAGAAATTTTCTAGTAATTGTCCAAAGAAAACTTTTTTTTGTACTAAGTTAATCATCTTTGAGTCTCTA